GGACGAGGAGGCGAAGGACTCAGTAGAATTTGAAGGTGAATGGAATATCATTCTGGCATTCGCGACAGAGAAGGTTGAGTGCGCCAGATTCCAACGTAAAACGAAAACGATGATATTCTTTTGACGCTAGGCCTGCATGAGTGTCTTCACACAGGAAACCGAAACAAATGAAGGCGCCACGAAAGGCCCTTCGACATGACACCGCTTGGGGACAGTATTGCCGAGAAATGGAAGTAGGCTCCTGAGTCCTCCGTTAGGGCACCAACCTTATTCAGGGGATGACGGCAGCTCGACGTGCTTCTGTAGCATGTACTTTTGTATTGGAGTCTCCTTCCATGGCTCTTTGCATACAGCGCATAGACTGAAGCTGTCCTCAGCCAAAAGAGTTGGTAACAGCCAGCATTCATCGCACTTTGAGTGGCCTTTTGACGGGATCAGAGTTCCGGAAGTCGCATTACTGGAGGACAGGGCGTGGAATCACTTACCGCAGTTAGCGATTCCCACAGGCTTGTCGTCACAAAGGCACACGGGGCACCTGTCCTCAGGGTAGACGAATATAACAGATTGGTCCTTGTTGCAGCATATGGGATTGTGACGGTAGCAGGATCGACACAAGCGCTATCCGCCAAGTCAGCCAAGCTTCCGGCACGGACTTGAAAAATGGTAAGGCGGGGAGTTGGGGACAACTGACGTGACCACAGAGCTTGAACAGGTAAGACTTTGAGCCTAGCGAGCACTCGCAGCCTTCGGGTCGATCCGGAATTTGTTGTGGAGGGGAGTTGTCGGCACTGGCACTGGGTCCACTCTGGTTGCTTGTGTGGTCATCTTCGAGACGTTGGTGATCGTTGACTGTAGTTTCGGGATGTGATTCGTTGTCTTCGTCGAGCTCGAGTATAGGTGACATTACATCACGAACTTCGTCGGAAAATGTGTACCCGCGGTCAGGCATTGTGATGCGAAGCATGCAGTCGAATAACTCGCGGGGATTGAGAATGTGGCAAATGGATGATCGAAAAGCTGTCCGAGTAGCGGGTGCGGCAAAAAAGGAAATGGGAAAATACGATTGTCGGGGCAGCGTTGGGGCAAAGAGGGTGGCGTTCATCTGGGACTTTTGATTTTGGAACCAGACTTGGGCTGCCCTGAAGTCAGTGGAAAGCGTCGCCCAAGTTTCTGGAAAGTGCACACCACCGAGGAACCTGACTACCCTGAAGACGAAAGGTGGATAACCGGGAAGGAGTGTTCAGTGGTGGCTACCTTATGGTTTCGAAGTATCCGACAGAAGGCACTGTCTCGCGTGCTATTGCAACCTACGGGGCAGCCATTTCCCAGTGAGGCTCTGGATGAGAAGGAGAGATGTTGAAAGGCAGGAGTGACGTTGGGTTGAATGGAAAACTGAGAGAAAGAAGACTGCACCAATCGGAGAGGGAGCATCCGTCTGATGGCATTCCCGGAAAGCATGTCTCGCGACGCACAGGCAGCAGCCCCTTTAAGCAGCTACGCCAGCTCATGGGGCCAGTCTCTATCCAGGTGTCGAGCTTCTGCCCCTTTCCCGTGCTGCACAGATCATGCTGAACTTCAAATCAGATAGGTACTGAATTGCCCGCCGTTGACTTGTAGGCAAGGATTGCCTCGGCTTCAGATGGGAGGCAGCTCCACAATGATTCGTCTCAGAGGTGACCGCTATGGACCCAACCCGGGACCCAACCCGACACTGGACCCACTTTACCCGAGCCTTGAACGGCTCAAGGTATACACTAAGATGGAGCTGTGGGGCGTCGTGCACCGAATCGCGGCCGCCGGTCTGAGATTGCTGTTGCCGTCTCAGTAACACTCAAGGACCGCATTCTCAAAACCTTGTGTCTGCAGAGTCATAAGCCAATATCAATAAGAGTTATTCTCACCTAGCCGCCAACAGCGATTTAATCATTTATTCCGAGAGACTCATGCGCTGTCGATAGGAAGCTCATTGATAACGAAGCCGCACACGCAGGCACAGCAGGTAGCCAGATACCAGACCCGTCAATACCTATATGTATGAGTGCGCGGGCATTAACGGACACATACGACCATACCCATTGGAAAACTCGGGATCCCGTCCGCTCTCCCATAGATAAGCCAATGAGGGCTGGAGTAGTAGTCGGGTCGGTGACGACCGGCGAATGCCCGGTGTTGTATGTTGGTGATTCTTTTTTGCTGCCTTCACCATATAGTGAAGCCCGGTGTAGCCTGGCATCGTGACTGCGACAGACTGTCGTCATCCTATAAGACATAGGAAAATGTAGTTCGCTCGCACTCAGTGCTAAAAGCACTATAACGGCAGAATATAGAGGTGTTGCGCACACATAGATAGCAACCTGCTTTCCACCTCAGCCATCATTATTTTGCTGATAACAACTAGTCAAAATGAGTGATTTCTTTATAGCAGTCCAGACTCTTATCCAAAAGCTGGAATACAATCCGTGATTGAGGTCAACATTTAATTCAGAAGGCTCAAATGAGTTGCATCTGGGGAGGTATGTAGAGGACAGCGACTGTCTATTTTTAACGAATCAGAAGCCATTAACCGGCTTGTTGTCCTATGCATACGGTGATTAACATACGGCGACAAAAGCTCAGTCACATGTTGCCTCCTTGAATTAGAGAAGAAGGTGGATAGCAGTGAATGGCTCGTTAGCAGCGGGGAGGTGTTGCCCGTGGGCCCTCCAGACATCAAAAGTTTTAATTCGGAATATCAGATATGCAGGTTTTGTGGATAATCAGTGAGTTATTAAACACTGATGCGCATGCGACGTGATTCCCAAGGTAAAATTAGAACACAGCTGCTGTGTTAGGTTCGTTGCTCTGAAATTGCTTCGCCAGAAAGACGATGCATTTATAGGTAGCTGCTAAAGTACGTTCAAAGCTTGTGTCGTTGTACATAAATCATATACAGCCAAATAGGGTCAGCAGTCTAAGGAAAATTTCAACATCAAACATTTGCCTGAGAGTGTCATCAACGTTGCTATCGACAACCACAGCCGTTATGCTAACTAACAGAAGTAGCTAAAGCAACGCCCGAAGACATCGCTAGGGCACTTCCATACCAACATTGCTAAGGGTAACAACATACTTCATTATAACGCCTTTTGGAGTTATTGCAATTTCTATAAGTGGTATGCTATTCGTAAAGTCATGATGGCTCTGTGGCGGAGGGCAAGTGACGCCGGTAAACCAAGTGGCCACCGCCGTTCTCTTCACGTCCTGCTCAACAGTCCAAGATCACTCTACGCCCCCAGACGTTGTCAAGCGAAGAATGCCACAGCAGTTCAGGGCGTCACTGTTGAGGCAGATGGCTTGTAGAAACTCACTTGCTCAAATAAAGTAGCCGTTGAAATCCTTCCACAGATTGTATCGCTCGACATGCCACATCACAGTGGCGATGACGGGCAAGACTTCAATTAAAATCGCGCGCCGCCAACGTATAGTGCACCAGCCGTCCCGAAAGTCAGGCGCTAGAACAAAGACGGATGGCATAGTCTAGGCCTTCTCGGACCAGCTCTAGTCTGAGACACCTGCATGCCTTTCGCGCCACGTCCGCAGCACGAAAGAGGCCCCCATTCTTTCAAAACCACATGGGAGTCGCCAAAGACGGAAAGACGAGAGAACACTACCACCCTTGACGCAGTTTTGCGGCCGCGCAAAGGAACATCAGCTTTGGTTCATCAGGAGAGACCACAAGTGTGGCGACTTTCCCTGGACGTTTCCGTCAAACCCAAGCAACCGTGGGTTTAAAAAATGAAACTCATCCCACAGCTGCCGGCACACAGTTTATTTGCTCCCTCCTCCTTGCTTCCTGACGCAATCTGAAAGATGCGATTCTCGCTCGGTATTCTGTTGATGACTAGGGCTGCCAGGCTGACTGTTGCATCTCCTTTCACCGATGCTTTGGCCGCCGCCCCCGCCTGTGCTGTTCGTCAATCCGTCGTGGAAGGCAACGTGTAGCCGATATTTGTTAACGCCGCTGCAGGTCACATGTGCCATCACTGCCCTCCCGCAGTCTCCTTGCACGATCGAAAACACGACATGCCTGTGCACTAACCCAACATTCAACGATCTTGTAGGAGAGTGCGTCCAGAAGGGCTGCACAATCAAGGAAGCTCTCAGTATGTCTTCGGTTCTTGCGCGACGCTTTCGCCTCCATCCAGAGTATCAATCGCCTAATATTCTCTTGCAGCTGTTCAAAACCTGACGTGGTCAGCATGTGGGTTCCCTTCAACAGATAAGAGGCATACCGCAAGATACACGATAGGATGCCTAATAATATTACCCGTTATTTTCATGGCTATTCGCCTAGCTAGTTGGGTCTTCCGCTTGACGCCATAGGCGGCTGAAGACTCGACTGTCAGCCTGGCATTTGTATGTTGCATCACTTAAAACATCCTTTGGCCTCCCGATTTCTCATTCAATCAGATCCTATTCATACCCTTTCCCACATTGGTTCTCATTAGTAAGTTTATCAGTGGACAATCTTCATTGAAACTCAGGCTTACCTTTGCATCAGTGGTCTCCTACGGCCTCGGACGAGACATATGGGTTCTGCAACCCGAAGAGGTGACTATGTTTCTGAAGGTAGCTTCATCTCCCCCTTTCAATCATTGAAGAATCTGAGAAGTAATAATCAGTACGAGCAGCTTGTTTTCATCATACAATTCTTTTACATAATCGACCTCGCATTGATCAAAGCATCGATACTCTATCTTTATCTCCGAGTCTTCCACATGAGCTCTATTCGGACCGTCCTCTGGGGAACTCAAGTGTTCAACCTTATTCTATGCACTTTGTTTGTGTTGCTCAGTATTTTCCAGTGCCAACCCATACAACACTACTGGAACGGCTGGGATGGTGAGCATGCGGGTGAATGCCTCAGCCTACAGGATATTGTACTCACGCACGTCGCCATCAATGTCGGCTTGGACGTGTGGATGCTCATTCTTCCACTCACTCAGATATACAAACTCAAAATGCCGCTCAGGAGGAAAATTAGCGTGATGGCCATGTTCAGTGTTGGGATTTTGTAAGTCATTCGCATCTCTTCTTCCTAGATATGCCATCATTCTGACCATCCAAAGCCTCACTATTGTTAGCATCATTCGGATCAAGAGCCTGCTAGACTTTGCGAAAACACCCAACATTACTGGTGAGTACCCCTGTTCAGAATCTGTGTTCCACTGTGATAATAACAAATATCTCGACAGCTGAGTTACTCGGGGGTGTAATCTGGTCCCATATCGAGCTCTGCGTCGGAATTGCGGTCGCCTGCATGCCGGCAGCGAGACATCTGGCATGGAGGCTCTTCCCAAAGCTGCTGGAACTCAGTCGGCGCACTTTGTCAAAGTCCAGCAAGACAAAGCCTTCTGTGCATGTGGAGGAGCTTCAGCCTGTCGCTAAGGGTCGACGCTCACTGAAGTCCGACACTACGACGACCCTCCAGTCAAACACGACCACAATGGTTGACCCCAATACGCCAAATAGTGCACATTTCCCGTGAAAGCGTCCCTGCCGTAACATAGAAAGGTAGTGATAGGAAGAAAGAGGACACGCGGTTGAACAGTTACATAGCATCATTCAATATCCAATGCCAGAGTACACACTGTGCGACTTTCATAATTAATCGGGCTGAGGGCAAAATATATCTCAGAAGCACTATTTACTTCAGGTTGTGGTTGGTAATGCGTACCTTGGAGTCTAAGAACCCGATGACTCCTAATACTTACCACGGCCAACCTTGATCTGGTTCTTCGCCTGCGCGTCAGGAGCGAGATCCGCCTTCTCTACGGGAAAAGAATCCCAACGCACAGATCCCTGCACGCCCGTGCCCCTTCGGCGACTGGTCTAATTAACGCGAGAAGGACGGGCAGGTGTGGAAAGGAGGTCGCAGGCAAGAAGGATGTTACGGGGGTGGCCCCAGAAGCCCAGACTTCGCTCCGGTAGTCTTGCTAACGGCTTCGGCGTCCACAGTGTCTGGTAACAAGTGACCCACAGGGGTTCACGAATATGTCGATTCAGGCAACGGACATGGCGCATGCGCCTTCAAGCAACTCGCAAGCCCAGAGGGTCAGCGCAGTTGCGTAATAAATTGTCGTAGAACTCCTGTGGCTGAGTATCCGATGGAGAATTGATCCCCTTCTGCGAAAGCGAGGCTTAGCGAAGCAGCTTTGTTGAGGTGGAACGAGGAAAATTAAGGTAAAGCAAGGAGGCATTAGCGACATGATATCAGATTCTGGAGCAGGATATGGGCGAAGGGTAGTGGGAACCTGAAAACAGGGGAAAGCGCTTAGCTTCAGTCAATAACCCAGAGAGCTTCCGAGTTGCAATAGACGGACAGGCTTAGAAACCGCTCACTGAAAGAACTTTCCAATTCTCGACAACCTTTCTATAAGGCGTAGCCTAGTCAATCAGTCAGATGCGCGTTCTGCAACAGCCAATCCATCGATGAACTCAGACGACGCGGCAGCTCACAACAGGCGCCTCATGAGATGATAGAATCCATTTATATTCACACCAACCCCAAAACTATCTGTTTGCCGCAGGACTGTGTTGACGGAAAGTTGTTCGACAGGTTAACGGTCTTGCGACGATTGAATGACGTAGGAAAGTGCTCTGCTAACCGTCACATATTTCCCCTATAGAGTCACAATAGTCAAAAAGGTGCGGCCGCAGGTCTCGACCTGCCATATGAAAACATGGAAAAAGCAATTGAAGGGAAGAATGAGTTCCAGCAGGCTGCGCGGGCGGTTTTACGTGATTAATACCCAGACAATCCCAGGGCTCATGATGCGCTCACTCAAAGCCATCACTGTTGTAGGTGGGAGATTCTGTCCATCGCTACCTGTATGGGATGCATTCTATATGTCTGATAAACTCTTTTCCTGAATTAGCGTGTTCCATTGATAAAGTAATTTGTCCGGATTGTTACATGTGCTCAGGTATGCATTCGTAATGGATGTGGTTTTTGGAGAGACGTCTCTTGTCCCTTAGACATCACAGCCTGCCTCTCGCAGAACAGACTGGAATACTTCCAATCAAAACTTTCCAACTCACACAGCATATCAGCTCGTCCCTTGAAAGAGGTTTGTCTCAGGAACTCCTGATTTGGTTCCAAGTATGCTACTCATCAAAAGGTCAAAGTAGTTAGCATGCACGACGTCTGAATATTCTGGGTGCTTGAACTTGGGTCACAACCCTTCTGGGCTGCCCTTTGAATGCCTCGTACAAGACTCTAGCTCTATTAGCCGGGAGTGATCCGCAATCTGAGCTGTGAGGGTTTCCAAATTCATGCCAGCGTTGGACTGGCAGAATCAGTATATGTGGGGATCAATGTAACCATATTGGGAACAGCCGCTTGCCCATCCTTCCAGTATACTTTAAATACACCTAGACCTCAAGGGCTCTATATCAAGCGAACGCTATATAGGTATAAACTTAAGATCTGATTCTTAGGCGATACATACTTATATATCCAGAAGGCATATCTTTTGCTCTTTAACTACCTAGTACTGATATCATAGTTCTGATCTATGGCAGAACCTCTCCTCATCTGTGGTGATGTTGCAGATTAACGTTTCCCAGAAGTGTCCAACGATTCCGCCGAGCAAACCACCTGCGACTTCAGCTGCGCTTATGATACCTATGGACAAAAGTGCATGCGACTCGCCGGGAACCTTCCTCAGAGCAGTGTCGAAAACCTCCACATACACTGCGCCTCCTAGCAATCCGGAACACAAGGCAACCCCAAGCACTACCCAGCTATTACCGAGGAAGAAGATGGAGTCTGCCACCAACAACGCTACCGTCCAAGCCAACAGAATCAACACGACTCTGTGGCTTCCGAGACGAAGCGATATTGTTGATAGCCGCGCTGTCAAGTTTCCTACGTGGAGCGCAAGAGCAAGCGCAGAGGTCCACGACAGGAGTGAGGAAAACGAAGACCCATCAAGGGCGAGAGCTGATCCGGGAGAAACCAAGGCTTGTGCGACGGTGACTAGGAATAAAATCGGAACAGCCTGCCTCAAGAGAGCCAGCATTGCTCTCGAGTTGCGTTTGACTTTACTCAGACCTTTGTGCTGCACAGTTGGGACTGTGCCCATAAGCGATGTCCTCACATCATAGCCTCCCGCAGCTGCTTTGTCCATGCTCAGCTCCCCTTGACTGACAACGGGCGAGCTTTGCGGCAAGATCATGAAGTAGGCCAACACCATTATGACGACGAGGTGGTGTATGTATCGGGTGCCTTCCCGCAGTGTCATGCCCGCATAAGATGTCAACACTAAAGGCCAAGTCGCATTGGCTATATGACCGAGACTCGTGCCCACAGCCCAGGCGATAAGACCTATCCGCCCGTATTGTTGGATCAAATCCAAACAAAAGATTTCGGTTGCGCCTGAGGAGACAGCAGCCAAAACCGTTGTGAAGATGCGCACCGGAGGCAATACGTTCGGGGGAGTGGCAGACACGACGATCTTGATGATCAGCCACGTTGCGGTAATGAGAAGAAGGCAAATATTGCGTGGGATGCGTTCGATGACAAACGCAAGGAGAATCTTGGCAATGGCAGACGGGCAATTCTCGAGTAGAAGAACTACCGGTTGTGAGTACGGAATGATAAGATAGTTGGCCGCACAGCTGATCCGAAGGAGAACCGCATTCGAGACACCTGTGAAGATGTCAGTCAGCATCGTCAAGAATAACAAAATCCACCATAAGAACCAAGGAAGAACATACCTATCAACGCAAAAGCCAGAAATGTTCGCGAAACATATTGATTGAGGTCGGGCGTGTTGACGTTGCTCCGACTCATTCTTGAAGTCATCTTCGTATGTAGCAAGCTTGCCTAAACTAAGTGATGAGAAGAGGACACGAGAAAGAAACCAAGTCGTGAATGGGAGCAGTTTCTGAGGCCTGGAAAATGATTGTTAGAATGGTCAAGAGGCAGCCCTGTTCTGCCAAGGGCGGAGAAGTGGCCTAAGACGGCCAAACATTCTGTTTACCCACAGAAGGACAGCGGAGCACCAACAGAAGCGAAATGACGAGCAAGTCCCAACCTGTCCACCTAATCCCCGCAACAGGCGGCCGGGATGAGAACGTCAGAGCATTTAGTCACGGACTGCAAATCGCTACCTCAGTTGCAGGCGGGTCCAAAGTTGCCAAGCAACCTTTTCCCCGAGTACGACCTGGCTACAGGAACCGCGGGACGAGCCTGCCAGACGGGCTGCCGAACCCCAACTCAACTTTAGTCATTGCCTTTCATCACTTCCAAAGAGTATGTGTTTATCTCTCTATAAGTTCTGCAGCGGGTTGACCGCACACTACGGACACTCCAACACGGTACTTTGAGGATCGGCTTAGAATTCGTGCCCTGCCAACATTTCAAGCAGAACCTCATTTCTCTGATACATCTACTTTCTAAGAACACGCTTCGAAAAGCATCAGTGCTGGCCTATTTCATTTGGAGCAAACAGGGGTTAACTGGGTATCTAGCATACTGCACCTTTAGCCGACGGTGCGAGATGGCACTGCCAAAGATTGCGAGAAGGTCTAAGGCAGCGTTGCTTACTTTTGCCGGTCTGGCAAGTCTGATCTTTCTGGTAAGACATCGCGATGGCCGGAAGTGTGCCGGCAATCCCTTGTCGTCCCATTACCATCCGGTTTCTCCTGCCTGCGTACTGATATTGCCCATTTACAGCTCAACCAAGCACACAACGTCTGGCCAAGGGACCTTGATGATAGCTGGGACCTCCACGAGAAGCTCAAAGTGCTCAACATATCTACCTTTAGGGAGTCACCCAGTGGCCACCGACGTCTGCACTTGTTCATGCCCGCTGATGGGCCAAGCATAAACCTCTGTAAGGTCGTGCATTCTGCAGTGGCCCTAGGATACCCAATGCCTACCATTTTGAACTGGAACGGAGAGTTTAACAGACCAGATTGGCACTTTTCAGGCTCCCATATCGCAAAGCTTGAGTCCCTTCTCGTCGCTCTTGATGAGCTCTCTGAAGGAAGGCCTGACGCTGACAAGGACGTGGCGCTCCTGGTAGACGCCTATGACATATGGTTCCAACTGCCCCCTTCGGCCCTGCTAGAAAGGTTTCACAAAGCCAACTTGGAATCAGATGCGAGGGTTCGGCAACTATGGGCGGATTCCGGCTACGATCCGCAGTTCCCTGTCGCTCCGCCACAGCAAAACATCATCATCACCACCGCCAAGGACTGCCAACCAGGCGCGGAATCCGGATCTCGTCCCAACTATCCTTACTGGCCAGACTCGCCCCTACCGGACGACTTTTTCGGGAAAGACACCGACAAGATTGACTCCTACGCGGACTCTGCAAGGAGATATAGGAAGGTTCGACCGAGGTGTGTGAATAGCGGGATGATCATGGGCGAGGTAGGACCTCTCAGGGCCGCACTTCGAAAATGCAGAGAAAAGGTCAAGGCAGTATCGCAGAAAGGACGACAGCTGTGGAGCGACCAAGCCTTGATCGCAGAGGTCATTGGAGAACAAGAGATGTGGCGGGAGTGGGTTCGAGGCCTTTTGCTTTCCGATAATAATCGCACACTTGGCAACCTACGAGGCGAAGCCAGGGGACTTGTCAAGATTGGAAAGAAAGCTCTCGATGGAGAACGTTTCGAATTTGGCATCGGTCTCGACTACAACTTCAGCACGATGCCTCCCACCTGCTCTGCTGAGGAGCAAGGCACTTTTGTCAAATGGGCCGACAGAGGCGCTATCCGAGAGGCTTCGAAAGAGGCTGGGGTCCCAGAACCAGTCAGGGTCCCTCGCACACCGACAGGTCTTGGGGGCTCATCCAGCCCTCTCCCGGGAAATGGGCTATCATGGGCGGATGTGCCTTTGTACACTGACCTCTTCTTCGGAGATGCTCCGGTTGGGATCCACCACAACGCCTACATTTCCGGCATGAAAGCGTGGAGGCTGGAGAACTGGTGGAACTTGACATGGTTCTATCCCCATCTTCGAGACTTAATCACCATTCAACTCCAACAGCAGAACAACCCGAAGCAATTGGCACGAATTCCTATTGGGGCCATGAAGCAGACCGAAGTTGTTTACTGGGCCCCCCAGGACGACACAGGGGTGCGAACCATCAAAAACTTCAAATGGTCAAAGCACGGAGCAGAGGTAACGCCTTTGAGTTGGGGCGGCATTTGCCAAGTTGGTCAGGAAGAGTGGCATGGCCGCATTTACGGTGATGGAAGAGGGGCTGTACCATAATGAGACCATTGTTGGTGTCGTTAGAATCCGCTTTTTAGGCAAGACGCAAAAGGGCCTGTACCATTATGAACTTGCTGGCCGAGTGTTCCAGGATACGAGAATGCCCAGGATCCAACCAATCGTTAAGATTCCATGACCCATGCCGAGCATGCGGGGCTCAGGGTTATGGCCGAAGCCCGGCTTGGCCTTGTTGGCTCTCAAATACGCCGTTGGGTCGGTTAGTACCTTCGCTTGGGTTGTGGAGTTGGTGATTCTCAGTCCTTTTATCCGACCATACTCATCACTAACAAACCGGGCGCGAACGGGGGCGGGACGGGACGGGAAGAGACAGCCAGCCAAGCGTAGCCGCGAGGATCGCTTTGAGGGTTCAATCCAGTCGGAAGGAGTGCCGCCATCCCCACACCGTGTGTTTTTCAAAATTAGTGTGGCGTTCAAATAAACTTTAGTGGAGTTCCAGCCAGATCATGGGCTGCAAGCAGAATAACTGACCAGGATCGTCTGTGGATTATTCACGATCCTTACGTAAGACGTTTTGAACGTAGCGCGACGCTTCTGCCAGCACGAAGTCACGGATAGTGATGGTTGTGATCTAGTCACTCACTGATTTATCATGTGTGGGAGTAATGCGTACACTGCACTAAACAGTGATAGATTTCTAACTCCTCAGGCTGCCAGCTCGGTTGAACAGGTGGTCCTAGACATAACGTGCAACATGTTCGCAAGCGTTATCTTAAGTAGACATTCAACATCAAAACATAACAAACAAGCTGGTATTATGCATTGGAGATTGGCGTCAAATATAACAATAAACTCTGCAGCATTTAAGCTCTACTTCAACTAACATGTGTGTAATTTTTATCCTGCTCAATTCAGTTGCTGGAGAAGTAGGCTAGCACCCTATTTCGCGGTGCATGTCACTGAGTGTTAACGAATCTAATGATCCTTATGTTATGCTATGCAGAAGGGTGCGACGTATTGAAATAAATGCTAAAAATCAAGCAAGGTTAGGAGCTTTTCAAAAGTCAAGTCTGAAATCTTGTCCTGAGCGTTAGCAAATGTTTTCCAAATACCTAGCATTTCAGCTCGTTAGCTGATGCTGCACGATCCAGAGCACGTAGGTCTCTAAACTAAACCTTACGTGTATCTATACTTCACATAATTGCTGTTATAGGTGATCGTCTTCTTTTCCCGGTTCAGGACTTCTCGTCGAACTGGCCGTCAGCTCATCAGGCTTAGAGCCTTTGGTCTTGGAACCGTGGAAAACTGGGAAATCATCCGAGCATCTCCGCCTATGCCGCTCAACAACTTCTCCATGAGATGGTACCATCATTCATGTGCCAATTAGGAAGGACGTCAATGACCTTCGCTTCTTCAGGACTTTGAAGATGTATAGCGTTGGGAAATTCTATAAGTAGACACACTTCGCTGTTACCTTGGACCGGTTCCTCATCACTTTCATCAACACAATCAACTGCAGACAATTTCGAAGTCATCTATCACTTACACCATCTTTGATCATGCGTTTTTCTCTTACTACCATCCTTGGCTTCGCAGCCTCAGCATCTGCTTGCTACAGCGGAGGCGAGAACTGGGACAATGTCAAGGATAATGCTCTCCGTGCTATTGAGAATCAGTGTCGCCGCTGGGAAAACGTCTGGTTCACGGGCGGGGAAAATAAATACGGCTGCGAAAACATTGGCAGCAACAAGAGAATCAACATCCGCATGAGAAACGGAGACAATGGCGGCCCCAGTCGTCAGCTTGACTACAACACCTGCGTTCAACGAATTCAGAGCCAAGTCCATAACTGCAGATTCGGCGGGGAAGAGAACCAGGGTGCCTGGAGACCTCGGTATAGAACTCTCTCAAACGTTTTACACTTCAGAGATATTGAACTGACATGTTCCAGTGCCGACCCTAACACTGGCCCTTGCTAAGCGGGTCGACGCTCACCCAACCACGTCATCAGTTTGAGGAGGCAGAAAGATTACTGTCTTTTCCCAAATTGCATCAATCATTATAAGATCTGAGAATTGATGTACAAGACCGTTGCTGGTGGTGGTTTGCCTGTTTTCAGGACTCTGGACGCTTCGGAGATAGTTATCGTGCGCTTGAAGTGGCCTTCATACCTTTCTCAACACCAATTGACCCTACATACATCAATACACAGCTGTTTTGAATTGATATGTCTCTTGACTTTGTGCCTGTATTGTTTTATTGATATCTACCCTTGGAAAAGACCTAGAAGCCATGCCAGAGCCCGTTTACTTTTGCATGTTGGTGGCAACATAAACAAGCAGCCAGAAGAGGAAGAAGTAACAAAAGGTGATAATAGTCATGTGATAATGGTAATATTGCTGAAATGGTTGGTCAGCGGCCTCCACTCACTCTGATCAGCAAAAATACCCACCACAATGATCCACACAATGTGCTGTGCCTGTCCTGGCAAACTCCATATTATCCCTCCAACTTTAAACATGACCTAATTCGTAAAAGATTTAAGCGAGCTAGGCGTGAAATTCAGGGGCAGTCTTTTCTTGTCTGCAATGGAAATGATTCACCCGGTCCGAAGTCCGGCGTTGCGTGCTAGCCAGACCTAAGAACACTTAGCATGCATACGTGCATACAATTAGGCAGCGCCGGTTTGGGGTTCGATGATAAATCGCACATCCACCCCATGGTGGTGCCAAATTCATGAGACCTACCAGGCTTTGTACCTTTCCCGATACCGCGCAATGCCTCTGTTGTTCACGCTACCGAAGATGAACGATGGAATCAAACGCCAATCACGGGCCCACACCCGCGTTGGGCCCCAGTCGCCGACTCCGTCATCCACCCCCTCATTGCGAACCGATGACCATGAGAATCAAACGAGACAGTTTAGTGTCTATCAGAGAATTTCCCATAACCTTGTCGAGCCATTCATGGGCAAATGTCAAGGCGTCTGGGGTTGGGCGGCCACACGGGTTGTAGTGCCTGGTTTGATGGGACTCACGCTCGGAGTCGCCGCTGCAACATCCCTCATGATGTAGGATACACAGACACGTCATGTTGAACGTGTTGCTGACAAAGGTCCAGAGTTTTGCTTTACTATCTGGTCTTCGTCTGCAAGCCTGTAACCATGGGTGCCGTCTTGCCTCACGACTTCATCTCCAATAACGTAATCACGACTGATGGGAAGTCAATTGATGGCATTTCTAAATGGCTAGAAGACTTCACCCACTCGGTTGTGCCTCGGAACTGCCACTCTCACAACGACTACTGGAGACCTTACCCACTGTTCTCGGCCCTGGCGGCTGGTTGTGTGGGAGTGGAGGCAGACATTTGGCTCAGCGACGATGGGCTTGATCTTCTGGTAGGGCATGACCGTGGCTCCCTCTCGACTGAGCGAACCTTACAGAAGATGTATCTCGACCCACTCCTCAAGATTCTGGATCACCAAAATTCACAGGGATCTGTGACACAATTTCAGCAAGCTCGCGGCGTCTTTGACACCATCCCGAACACGTCGCTCATTCTGTTAATTGACGTCAAAACGAATGCTACCGAGACATGGCCAATCCTGGTCAAGCAGCTTGGTTCCCTCCGGAAAAAGCAGTATCTGACTCGATTTGAGCATATCGAGACCTCGCCCGGTTTTGTGACCAAGCAAGGTATTTGGCCTGGCCCAGTCACTGTTGTCGGCACGGGGCTTCTAGATCGATTCACTTTCTTGGATCCCAATCACAGAAGCTATGATGATTACGAGGCTTATCATGACACTTTTATTGATGCTCCATTGAGCACCCTTTTGCATGATAACACCTTCTGGAGGTATCCGCTTGGCGATCCTGCTCCCATCGGCCAGCCCGCGTCAAACTCTAGTCAGCTTTGGTGCGCCGATGACGCATACTACGCCTCGGCATCTTTCAAAACAGCGATTGGATCAGTTCGAACTGGCTTTTCGCAGGAGCAACTGCAGAGGGTCAGGGCCCATGTTCAGGTTTCGAGGCAAAGTGGGCTCAAGTCCAGGTACTGGGACATTCCAGACTGGCCAATCGGATATAGGGACTACATCTGGAAGGTGTTGACGGAGGAGAATGTTGACATGTTGAATGTGGACGACCTGGAGAGCGCTGCTAGGCGGGGCTGGACCCAAGGGTATCTGAGGGACGTGCTCTGGATGGCATTAGTGTCCACATACATCTTTGGTTGTGGCATCGCGATCTTGCTTTTGTTCACCCGCAGATCACAGAACGAATCAGGTACACAAACAATTCCCTAGACTTTGAACTTGAGCAATAGAGAAAGTCACGAAATGATTTAGCCAAAGCTCCTGTAATTGAAACTTGTGAATCACAATTTTCACACTTACAAATGCCCTCCATGTTCTAAGCTCCCTCAGCGTTCATTTTATAAGACGCCTCCAGGGGTTACTGTTAAAATTGTGCGGTTACATGGAACAAAAAAGCCATCAAGTTGGCTTGTCAGTTCAATCTTAGTCATTGTATGACGACGAACAAGGGGTTGGGTACGCGACTAGGCTCCCCACCGCCAGTACGGGCGATCAAACGGACTTGAATGAAAGCGAAGTGTGTAGTACGAGGATCTGTGTGAGGCTTTTACGCTCCAATGCACTTGAAGCTCGCCACCTAGTGTCTTGAGCTGCTTTTCTGAAGAAATGTCTTCTGTATTATATTGTTCGGCCCGAAAGTCGCACAGTCAGAAGCGCACGGCAAGCTCATCATCAACACACGTCGATCGGGTTCTTGCGCCCAGAGAACTCTCAACGAAGAAGGCTAAGACAAAGACAAGCATCTCTTTTTCCCAAAGGAGCTTTCAACCAAATCAGTCGAAATATTTATCACTGTTCCAAGCATTAGAGTATGTCTCGTCAAGATTGGTTCCGGGTCCTCGTCCAATCTAGCAGCTGCGATACGTTCTGTCGACGAGTGGATTATGTCACATAGGCTGCTGTAGATTCATCTTGGAAGCCTCTGCAGCCAGCCAGTAGTAACTAAGATACATACTTGCCGAGGAGACGAGTGAGGAAGGATTCATCCTGTCGATATCCCATCTTCGATCGCCTTCAGTACCGAGTCAACCAGTACAGTTGTCCCCACCGGTTTCATTTAAGACACTTCAAATTTCCAAGGCAGGTCTCTGCGAAGATGTCTGGACATGGGCGATGCCATCAGTACATTGCGGGACTTGTGTTTGCGGCGCCTTGGCTCTTGTTGATGTATCGTTGGTGTCTACAACGATTTCGCTGAAGTTCCTGTTTGTGCATGAATCCGAGTGTGTCTCCCCGACACATGCTCTGGTTAATCTGGCTATGGTGTTGGAATGATAGTCTCACAGTCACATTCACTCCCCCAAGCCGTGATAGAATCACCGGAGGAAATTACAGGGTTCATTTTCGCTTCGGCCGGTGTATCTGTGATGTTTTGCGCTTCACTTTACGCCTTGTTGTAGGTTATATGATCACTGATGGCCTAGGATGGCTTCGCGGACGATCTGTTATCGATCTCAACTATTGCAAGGATCGCAGGAATGAAAGTCATCACCCATAGCGAATTATGTATGTGTTAGTGAAACAGATGGCCACAATGATTGCGTTCACTTGCCTGCTTGGGACAATTTGCGAGCCATGAATCCACTGCCGCCACAAAGCCACTGCCGGAGCGGCCCCACCACGATCACCGTCTGGAGCGGGGCCTGAATGAATGTGGAAAACTGTCTATAAGTGCGTCGAATGGCCTCATCTCTGTGTCCCGAGAAGGTGGGTTTGTCTTCAAGTTTCAATCGAGGACGCTTTCAACCCGGGTCTGCGCTATTATTTTCTCACCTATCTCAGAGGACACAGCGAAAGCCTTGGTCGTCGACAAGCCTTCACCAACTCAAACGTGACGACTGACAGGCGCCTTTTCCCTCATAGACTAACGTCCTCGCGGACTTTGGACGTATACTATCCATTGAACCACAAGCTTGATTGCCGTCTTGTCCTTCCTCGGGTTTTGGGTTAGAACTCACCGTCGCTGCTGTAAATCCACCGACAGACATTTTTGTACACCACCCGCTCGTGAGCCGAGCCAGGCCGTTTCAGAACTGACAATCCCTCCTCAAACGAATCGTTAACTGGTTTTAGAGCTTCTTAACCCACGATATGATCGTTGCTGCTAAACATTAATCTCTATTTCTTGAAGATTCCAGTATTCACGGCTGATGCTAGTAGAACACATCAATGAGGCGCAATCCAGTTTCAAGAGTGATGACAATTAAGCCGCAAGGCACTTCAAAGCGCTAAAAGCAGCTTCTATCCTGTCCTTCAGACGCCTACTTTGAGGGATTTTAGGGGCCTATAGGTATTAATTACTAGATGCTTATGAATAGACGTAAGATTGCGTCTTATGAATGCGTTAGGGGCTAAGTGATTCAACTTATACCTCGTTTTCCTCTGCTATTATTATATATTCCTTTAACTATGTTATGTTTAGCTGAAGCTTAAACTATCATAATGATATATAACTCCCAGCTTCCTCATTATTGCGTTCTATATGTCTAGTGTGATATTAGTGCCCCCCTAACGCTTAATACAGACTAGGTTAAGGCTAGGATTTAGGCTAGAAAGAGGGTTCTTTAGAGCTATAAATAAGTGATATAAATAGGGAGGTATTAAGGCTAGTAAAGGGAAAATATATTAGATAATAATATATATTAGATTTTATATCTAAATAGACTAATTATAGGTATCTATAAGCCTACTAATAGGGAGGGGTTCTAAGACTTAACTATAGAGTTTAAATAATATATATAGCTAGAAGAAAGCCCCTAAAAGCTTCTTAGACCTAACTATTTAAATCTTTATAACTTATTATACTTAGCTAGAAGCCTTAGAAGCCTTAAGAAGCTTCTAAGACTTCTTAATTATAAAGTAGTCTTCTAGATAACTTAGCTTATTTAGTAAGAAGCCCCCTAAAGCTTCTTAGAAATTAAACTTAACTATAGATCTTAGATACCTTACTATAGTTAGCTATAAACTTTTAAGGTTTCTAAGATCTAATAGTAGAATTTAGATAACTTAACTTAATTAGCTAGAAGCTTTTAGGGGCTTCTAGAAACTTCTAAGACTTAACTATTAAAGCTAAATAACTTAACTAACTTAGCTAGAAGCTCTTAAAGGCTTTTATAATATAAGTAGAAACTAAATAAAGTAAAATCTACTTCTTTATAATACTCTCTTAAGGATTATTTAAGAGAGGAAACGCTTTAAATCTTATATATATACTTATCTATCTTTTTACTTAACTTTAAGTAGACCTTTAGGTTTATATATAACTTATTAAGCTTATAGCCTCTATAAAGCTTCTTACCCTTAAATATAACTAATTAGATAATTAAAGTAAACTATAAAATATTTTACTTTACTCTATATATTATATATAATAAGTATAATTAATAAATACTCTTTTATATCTCCCCTCTATTAAAAAAAAGGTATATAGATAGTAGTAAATAAATAGGAAACTAGAAAATAGTTTAGATCTAATATAAATTATTATAAGTAGTATATATAGCTCTAATAAAGAGATAAGAGAATAGCTAATATATATAGTATTTATAAAGTAGGAAAAGAAGATATAGAAGTAGCTTAGTAGTAAGAGTAAATAGATATAGCTATTTAGATATCTAAAAGAGAGGGTAATTAGAGTATATATTTATACTTAGCTAGAAGTAAGCTTAGATACTATATTATATTAATTAGGGAGAAACTAATATATTAATACTAACTAAATTTAAAAGAAGGATAAGAGAGAGGGCTACTTATATTATAAACTATATTATTTAACTAGTTAATAGTAGTAGATAGTATTAAATATTATAAAATATAATAATAAGTAACTCTAATATTTTATTATATAGTAGACTTAAGTAGAAATAAAGTATATAGGGATATATAGATAGATTAAGTAATATAAAGAAAGGGATAAATAAATAATCTAGCGTATTAAGGGTATTACTAACTCTATCTATAATTACTTAATATACTATAGCTAATTATATAATAGCTTATCTATTATTAACTACTATACTTAATTACCTCACTAAACTTATAGCTTAAATAAAGTGAATAGTAAATAGCTCTATAAGGGGTATCTTAATATAAGAGGAAATAATATAGATAGTTTATATATATTAAGAAGAAGTAATCCTAACTTTAAATAAGCTTACTTACTACCTCTATAAACTTTTATAATTTCTTTATTATATTATTATTCTATATTTTTTATAAATATATACCTACTTATTATAACTACTACTCTATTAGCTATATTATCCTTATTAGGCTGAGACTAAATATAGCATACTATATAAATTTAAATAGATTAGAACTATATTCTAACTAATTAGCAGCACCTTCTAACCTCTAATATATAGGTGTAATTATATATAGGTTAAAATAACTTATTAAGTCCTATATAACGCTAGTATATTAAGGAGCTATACTTTCTCTATTCTTATAGCTTATAATAAATCTTAAAATTTACTAGAGAAAATTATTAATTAACTAGAATAATATTTTATTTACTATATCTAATATATATATATATTAGCGTTATATAGTAACTAATAGGATAGCATAAATAAGAATATTATTAAACCTCTACTAAATATCTTTAATAAAAGATATTAGCTATAGAGAGAGAGAGTATTTATTATATCTCTAATTCTATCTTTAGCTTCTTATCTATATCTTACTAAAGATAAAAAATACATATTTATAGCTTATTAGATAAGTTATATAGCTTATTTATAAAGAGCGTAAACTTCTATTATAACTTATATAAATACTAACTAACTATAAGAACGTCTTAAAAGAGCGTAATATATTAGAAGGGGAGAGGTTATAGGTATATATAGTTTAAAGCTTATTAATATAAATAGGTATATAGTAATTATAGTAGGTATAAGCTTCTATCTTAGCTTCTATTAGGATACTTATTAGTATATATACTATAGACTAAATTATAGATTAAATAGTTTTATACCTTAAATACTATATAATTATCTTATAAGCTGCTAAGGATATCTAGTGCATATTATTAGATAATAACTAAGGTTAGCTTAGGTATAAATAGGAATAGAGGTAAAGATATTAAGAGGTTAAAAATAGATAATAGATATAATAATATTTTCTTCTCACACTAAGCTAAAAATAAATAATATTAATAGATTTAGTTAGTAAGCTTATATTTAGGTATATTATAAATATATCTATTTATT